TCTATCGCTGCAATACCAAGTGTCTGCTGAACGTGCACCCCTAATGCCTGTCCTGCTCCTATTCCACTGAAGCAAAGCTTCTTGGCTTGGGAAAATCTGCTGAATGTGATTTTCACTCTTCTGCACCATTTGGCTGGAGTTTTTGTCTACCTTATTTTGCCAGATTGAGCCCTAAAAACATCTTGCCATACTTTTAGCTCATATTCTCTCCTTATGCCACTAGGAGTGTCTGGCTTTGTACCCTTTCAGTAAAAGAGATTAATTTGTTGTTTCCTTCCTGTACAGAGGTCTGGAAAATTTAATAGCTGTGATGCAAAGGCCTGGAGTTGGCCTTAGAAGCTGAAATCTGGCTTTAGACAAAAAGGTACCAGCTTCAAGCTGTGCTTCCAGCAGGTAACCTACTGAGCTATGTAGGAGAGCAAGAGCTGATTGCCAACCAGACCTGGCAATGCCGAGATGGGGAGACGGGTGAAAACCCAAGGGAATTCCAAGGTTAGGTTGTTATTGCTTTTCTTCTCTTACAGGTTGCTGCTGTAAGAATACAGTTGAGCACAAAATGCCTTGATTCTTTCCAAAAGCCCCACTCTAAAGTCATCGGAGCATGTATTTCTGAGTTAAGTTGTTGTGTCAACTGTTACCCATCAGGGAGTTTTAAGAAGTGTTTTGAATACAGGAAACATTTAACTGCAGGCTTTCTGATTCGTTCGTATGCTGTAGTAGCAGTAATAACAATTATTTGTACTGAGGTAGCAGGTGGCCCTCCAAGGTTTCATTGTGGGTGTCACTGTTTATACAAATTAAAGCCAGTCAGTTCATATCCTGTCTGATTTTGCGTGCAGATGCTGTCGCTGCTCATCATGCTGTGAGCAGTCAGTGCTGTGCTAGCAGTGCAGTGCTTCCACTGCAAGGTACACGAAGAAGCAGAGACCTGGGCCACACGTCCTCACTCATCCTTTAACCGTGCTGCGCCGGTGTGAGCTGCTGCACTCATATGGCTGCACAAGTACCAGGGTGCTGGTGGTCTGACATGGCCTGTCACTGTGTCACAGCACCTTGGTGGCCGTGTCACGGCTGGAGGGACAGCAGCACACTCAGCTGGAGCAGGGGAACATTGCTGTGCAGACAAAGGTTCTACTTTCTGACCGTTCAGCCAGAGCTAAGGCGGTGTTCCAGCTCCAATTTTTTGTTGTGGTTGTTTCTTTTGGCCTCACAGTTTCAAGGATCTGGTGCTAATTAGAGAACTGAATGTTTGACTTTTATTCGCAGTGAATTCATTTATGCTTATTCATTCTAAGAAATATGTAACTGTGTGCTCTTGCCAGGCTTTGTAAGTATCTCTCACCTAACAGCACAGCTCTGATCCCTGCAGAGGTTGAGGCATGAGGGGGATGCATGTGAGCGCTCTGGCTCAGCACCATACTGCAGACATCATGTTAATCCTCAAGCTGTCCCTGCACCTGGGGAAAATACAGCCTGACTGAGGTGTAGAGGAGTAGTTTGCTGATTCATTCTAGGAAATTACTTTTCCTCCTCTCAGCTGAGTGAAAGAATATTGCAGTAGTTGAAATTTCATTGTTTTCCTTCATAGAATGCAAATTGTCTCATTGCTTCCTCTCTTGCCACTCTTGGCCAGTTAAGGTCTTGCAGAATGCCTGTCCCCATCTGATCTTTCGCCAAAATATCCTCTTGTCAGTACCCTCTTGTGGTCCTTGCCCTCTTTGGTGTCACCCTCCTGAATTTCAGCCATTTTGGATACCCTCTCTACTCCCTGATGTCTCTGTCTTCCTCAAGCTAAATGCAACTTGCTTCTCTATTGGTGCGAACAGCATTGGCTCAGATGGTCTGATTTTAGTGGAGTGTGTGTGAATGCACTCTCAGAGCAGGTCCCCTTTGTATTGGCTGCTCTAAAGAGAACAGGCACTCAGTAACCTGGGGACAGAAATGACTTGGGGAATGTTCAAAGTTATGCCAGCATAGGTTCAGGCTGGATATTAGGAAAAACTTCTTCTCAGAGTGGTGGGTATTGGAACAAGCTGCCCAGAGAGGTGGTGGAGTCACTGTCCCTGGGGGTGTTCAGCAATGGAGTGGATGCTGCACGGAGTGACATGGCCTAGAGCAGTCACACGTATGGACTGATGGTTGGACTAGATATCTTAGTGGCCTTTCCAACCTGAATGATTCTGTGGTTCTATGAATCTATGAAGCACATGGGTGACCTCCCTTGGCTCTGGTAGCTCTCCTGTGCTGCACGGGGTGCCCCGCTGGGGCTGGAAGAAGCAGTGGGAGCTTCCCTGGAAGCCCTAAGAGTCACACAGAGTTCCAGAATTTCTCCTCTCACAGGTGTGGATGCTGTGCCAGGCCTTCCTTTGGCTCTGACTAAGGTCAGCAGCCAAAATGGGGTCTGAATTCCAGAAGCAGTGGAAGGCCATGGGATTCAGCCAGACAGTGCGTTTCAACACAAGGCGGAACTGGCGCTCTTTACTTTCACATGTGCACAGCCAATAGATGTTGCCCTGCTGGGTCTGGGACTTCACATGGAGCGGTTTCCTGAGCTTCCTGCCAAAGCCAGTCCAAGTCCGCAGAGCCTGGTTTGATTTTCTCTCTTGTAGCCTAGAGCTGGCTGCCTGGTTTGGGTAATTGGATCCACAGAGTGAGTGTTATGACACAGTGACTCCGGGACATTTCTGTTAGTTGCTCCTTTTTTTGTTGTTGTTCTTTAGTGTGCTTTAAATTCCTGGGCATGAAATCTCTTCATTGACTCATCCTGAAAGCAGTGTGTCCTGCACAGTGTGAGCTATCTGATGGTTTTTTTTTTCTATCCCTAAGCTGTTTTTCAACCCACAAAGTGAGGGATAAGGGACTGTTTTGGAAAAAAAGTAGAGCTTCAGACACAGCCTGAAGTTCCGTGTTTCAGTTCTGGCCTTCTGTTTTTGTTTCAGCCCCTTTTTTCCTGCAACACGCAGACAACTTAATTTGTTAAAAACATCCTCAGCATCTTCCAGGCCTAGGATGTAATGATGCCTCACATTTTGTGAGAATAAGCAGGGATTCAAAGACAGGAGCATAGCACTCTTAAAAAATGCTAAGGGTTTTGATAACCTAGAAAGCAGTGGCCAAAAATGCCCACCCCCATGTGGATTTGGTTTGAATGCAGCAGTGCAGAGGTGCTTAGCCTGGCCTGTCCATGGAGCTGACTCCTGCACTGAGAGGCTGCAGGAATGGGGTGGTAGCAATATGGCTTCCTGCTGCTCTGTTTGGGGGACACTTCCAGAGGCAGTGGTTCTTACTGGAGCAGCTCCATAGCTACCTCTTGTTGCTCCCTTGCTGATGCAGGGCCACAAAAATGATCTGACAGATGGAACATCTCCCTTTGAGGACAGGCTGAGAGCTGGGGCTGTGCAGCGTGGAGAAAGGAGGGCTGTGGGGAGAGCTGAGAGCGGCCTGTCAGTATCTAGAGGGGCTGTAAGAAGGAAGGGGACAGACTCTTGTGCAGGGTCTGTGCTGACAGGACAAGGGGAAGTGGTTTCAAATTAGAAGAGTGGAGATTTAGGTTGGATATAAGGAAGTTTTTTCACAGCAAGGGTAATGAGGCACTGCACAGGTTGCCTGGAGAGGTGGTGGTGCCCCATCCCAGGAGACACGGCAGGTCAGACTGGACAGGCTCTGAGCGCCTGATGGAGCTGTCAGTGTCCGTGTTCAGTGCAGAGAGTTGGACTGGATGGCCTTTAAAGGTCCCTTCCAACTCAATTGATTGTATGATTCTGTGTTCAATGCATGTCCCCCCCTTCCCAAGCTCATTGGCTGTACCCATGGCAGCAGATCTGAGGGAGCTCCTGCTGCCTGCAGCATGTGCATTCCTTTGGCCGTTGCTGGCTGCCTGCTGCCTCTGTTGCTTCTTGTTAGGAAGAGTGGAAGATCCTTGTTCCAGCTGTTCTGTAGTGTAAAGAAGAATTACTACATGGGAAAGGCACTGACTTACTGCTACACTGATGCCAAATGGTGCAGTTCAGCTGGGGCAGTTAATGCACGTTCCTCTTCTGGAGAGTCCACCTGGGTCCAAAGTATTGGCTGAGCCCTGTGTGTGCTTAGTGAGTAGCTGGGTGAGTGCCGGCCTTGACTGGAGCGAATTTCTCTTGTGTTTCTCCTGATTTGTACAGATCAGAAAGTGCAGTGGAAAAGTGGTGCTATAAATCACTGTGAGAGAAGCAGCTCTTGGCTTAACTCCTGATAAGCAGGTGGATATCAGTGCTGCTGTCTGTGCTGATGCAAGCATGCAGTAGGGATCCTTGCACTGACAGCCACAGCGCAGTGTCCTGCTAATGAGCACTTCAGAGTAATTAGGGGCATGAGGGCAGCAGCTTGACATGGCTGGTACAGATGCCAGCTGTCACAAAGCTGCAGTAGCTTGACATCAGTGCGACCTTTGAGCTAAGAGCAGATTGGTAGCTGCTCAGCTGCTGGTACCTGCTCAGGTTTAAGCTAACACGGGTCCACATCCATACAGGGGCAGCCATGTCCCTGTGTGCACAGAGGCCATGCTGCAGTGGTTTAGTGCTGAGAGTGGGGGCATCTTGGGGAGCGGGGCAGGGACAGAGCACTGAGCCCCTCGGTTTGAGGCTGCTGACAGCGCACTGCCGCTGTGTTTTCTCTCGTAGCTTATAAATAGTTTTTGTCATTTGCCCTTCCCCCTTCTTATCCTTTTGGCTTCTCACACAATTACAGTCTGAGCCCGTGTGACTGTATGAAAGGCATTTCCTCCTGCTACTTTCTTTCTTTTTTTTTGTTTTTAAGTCGGCTTCAGCCCACCATCTGCTTTCCATTAGTGTTACACACACACTCGCTGGGAGGGCAGCACATATTGCTTCAGGCACTGCTGAATAGCAGAAATCCTTCAGAATCAGTCGGACAGAGGCTTCTCAAAGCAGACTATAGGTACTGAGAGTTCAGCCCACTGGGAGCTGTCTTCTAGCAAGCCTTCGCTGGAAAGCTGAGGTGTGAGGATGGGGCATGGGGAGCGGGTGTTGGCTGAGCGCAGGGTGAAAGCTGTGAATGCATCTCTTAAGGTGAACATTGTTTGCTCTGGATATCTCTTTGAGGGGAGCAGCTGACTGCTTTATGATGCTATGAAGAATATGCTATGAAGAATATGCTATGAAGAACCCTTGGGAAAGTGTTCTTATTGATGCTCTATCGATAAGCTACTTATCTAGACTTCCAAAAGACTACTATTATCGTATTACTTGTGATCCTTTGAAAAGGGCCTTAAACTTTGTTAAGCTCTTCTTCTCTCCGTAGAATTATGCAAGCAGTATTCATTAACTTTGTAAACTCCTACCTCTCACTATCATCAGTGGAGGCAGCAGCAAGAGTCCTTGAGTAAGCTTCTATTTGTGCCATTCTCTCATGTCTACATAAAGTAGCCACAGTCAGGCTGTGGTGATGCCAGCTGCGGCCTGGCAAAACCATCGTGTGGGTCAGAGATGGGCAATTTGTCTTAGAAACACCGCGCTCTGGAAGAGTGCATCCAGTGGGATGAGCTGTGTGAGGTCAGTGCCTGCTTTTAACAAAGCTGTCTGCGGGGTCCCACGCTGCTCAGTGTGTACCTGGTGGGCCAGGTTCTGGCTCTGGGTACAGAGACCAACAAAACCTTGGTTTTGATAGGCTTTCACTGAAGAGCATAACCTGAACGCATACCTGTCTTACATCCTGCTCTTTTGTGAGGCCTAGAGCTCAGGGGAGAGCCATGCGCTGGGGGATGCTGGCCGTGGCTGCTGCCTGGAGGCCTGTGTGGGGGCATGTGTCCCCCTGTGCTGAGCCATCTCGCTGCACAGTGTCCTTCTGTGGGGAGCAGAGATCTCCTCTTTGCCTTGGGTCTTTGCTAAGCGCAGGAAACCTGGGTGCTGTACAGGGCTGATTTCACAGGAGCCACTTAAGTACACAAACCAAGGAATGGAAAGGAGTTGTCTTTTCTATTTGCATTTTCCCCCCCATTTGAGACACATATTCAGGTGAGGTACTTAGCTGAGAAAAGGGAAAGTTCAGAGAACTCTCCTGGGATTGCATTTCTTGTGCCCGGTCACTGTAGAGCATTCCAAGTATCTGCTGGTTGCCCCAGTTGGTGAAGGAGAGGCAAGGCTGCTTCTCCTGTCTGTGGGCAGTGCTTTCCCTCCAGACTGATTAGTTCCTCTCACGAGTTGAAGACCTCCAGGTGAACGCATGGCAGTAGGGGGATAAATGGAAGCTGAGTATGGGATAGCAGGGAGCCTGGATCCAAACCACCAAACCGGGTAAGCACAGCAGTGATTACCAGCCAGCTCCTGCTCCTGCTTTGAAATAAAGAAAGCCCTGCAACCTTGTGGGGGTTGTATTGCTTCCTTTGCTTTGCCTGCTGGTGGACTCCTTCTCCCAGCTGTCCCCTTGCATCTCCTTGCCAGACAAGCACCAAAAATGCTGCTCCAAAGGGGCCATTCATTTCACCCAGTACTTCACTTGCTGAAAGTCAGTGAGCGTATGGTATTTGTTTAAAACTCTGTCTCGTGGTGTGCTGCTCTGGGGGAGCGTGCAGGGTGCATGTGTTTAGTGCAGCTGATTGAAATGGACGTGCGGTATCAATACGTCCTGGCCACATGCAGCACTGTGTCTGGCAGCTGTCATTAAGGGCTGGCAGTGGTCAATGTCTGAGGGTTCAACCAGTTAATGCCTGTGCACTCACATGGATCGGTATTGATGAGCTTTTGTCCTCTTTCTCTCCATTACATTAATCCCTAGGCTAGGATTCGTCGCCCAGAAATGTTGCTGGCTTTTCTCTTGTAAAATAAAACACACTGCCACCAGAATTTGACATCTAAATACCATCTAAATGCTAACTTTTCTTCAGCTGCATCATCAAGCTTTTAATGATGGAACTTACACTTCCTCTGTAAATATTGTATTTTTTCTTGTCATCTAAGTGCTTGTTAAACTAACTGCATGGAAAAACCTGTGATGTTCCCCTCACCTCAAGTCACTGTTTGGTTCACTGGAATGATGATGCAGTGATCAGGTCTACAAAGGCTCCATTGGGTCCTAAGTGAGGGCACTTCTGCAGACAGGCAGTGTGCCCTTGCAATTGACACTTGACCTCCATATGCCCCAGAGAACTCAGCTATAAAATTGAGTTAGTGCAGGAGCTGATTTGCCTGTGAAGAGATTGCCTCGGAGCTGAACTGCCCTGCAATTTTAATTCTACTGGTATAAAAGCTGCACCGAATGGAAACAAATGCTTGTACTTGTAATAAGTGTGGCAGTCAAAGTGTCTTCAGGGACTGATGGAAGCAGCTGAGATGATGGAGTGATTTAAATAAATGTAGAGCCAGCAAAAACAAACCTGGATCTCAAACGTTTTCATTGTATTAAAGTTGGGCAAATCTGAAGTTAGGGTGCAAATGAGCCAGATATCAGTGCCACTCACATTCTGTGAAAATAAGCTCAACTGTGGGGACTTGCCATTTTGTCCTTGTACATTCATTGAGTGCTTCCTTGATGCTTTATTTCAAGTGCATTTTCCTTGCCCTAAAGAAAAATCAGAACGTCGATCTGCATGGTGTGTAAATCAAGGGGAAAAAATGGATCAGAATTTCTTCTTAACACAGAGTCGGCATGAGAAGGTCTGCAGATGACTGAGTTGAAATGCGCAGGAGATGCAGACATTTCCAAGTATAGTTGATGAGACCTGAGGGTAAAACGTAGAAAAGCTGGGTGATTATTATTATCCAAAAGAAAAAAATCTTAGAAGTGTTACTTACGGTTGCTTCTGAATGCTGTTTAACAGTTGTTTCAAAACTGTCCTCAGTGCATCTTATTTAGAAAAGGTGTAACCAATCCTGGTCCCTGCAGTGACTTTCATCGTATTTTTGCAAGGTGAGATGAGATTGTTCGGCCCGACAGTGCATTAATGCACTCCTGTGTCCACTGCTAAAGATGTACTGAAGCAGAAGAAAGCTGCAGCCCATCACCCCCCATCACCTCTGCACTCCTTGTTTTATCTGAGGTTCTCTGAGGTGCTGGGCTGCCCATGGGCTGGGAGAAGCACTAGTGCTTTCCGGCATGGCAGATTGGAGGTGTGGCTGATAGAGAAAAAATCCACAAGTTTCCTAACTGGCCAAGCAGATACCTAAGCAATTTAAGTTGGCAGCAGCGTACCGCTTTGAAGAGGAAAACTGTCCGACCAGGCAGAAAAGTGGGCAGGATTTGTTTGTGGGTATTTTCATTTGTTTGTAAAGATTTCTCCCTCTTAACGTCCTGCCACAGCAGGTTGGAATTGCTTGCTGTGTAAGGGTATCACTCGGGGATCTTCCCCAACAAAGGACAGTATTTATGAGCTGCCGTGTGGACTGTCACGTTGCCATTGTTGCTTGACATTTGTGCTGTAACTCTTGCGGTCTGCTGCTTCGTTCCTTTGTTTCTGACAGACGCCCTTTTAGGAGCCTTGGAAAATACAAAGTGGAGCCAGTTAACATTGAATGATCTTAAAACTAGGCTGAACTTTTGTTTTCATCAGAGAGGAAGATGATGCCATCAGCTAATGTGGTTGATCAATAGCCCAGCTTGCGATAAGGTTTCAAAGCTTGTGGCTAAAAGCTGATTGCACTGGATCCAAAATAAATTTGATCTATTGGTTTCCACAAATGTAGCATAGCCCAGGATGATGGTTCAGTGCTGATGCTTAACTAATTTTAATAATGCTGACAGGCTGCCTGCGGTGAGGGCACTGTAATACGCCAACCCTGGCGGCAGAGCTCTTACTTGAGATGCTTTGTACGTGGAACTGTGCATGGAGCTGTCAGCCTGTAGCAAACAGCATGCATAAAGATTCTCAATTCAGACACTGGGAAGAGTGACGGACCTTGCTGGTCACATTTTCTTCAGATGCAAACTTTGATCCTGGATTCTTAAAAAGAGGGAGGTGCTGGCACGAAGTGAGGCTGCTCTATCAGTTCTGACTGGAGAAATAAGTGCTAATGAAAAAAAGGTTCTGTGGCTGAGAAACAAAATAAGTGTGTGAGCCCTGTTTGTGATGAGCATTTGCAGCTTTAGAAAGGATCCAGCCACACTCTTCCAGTGAGGTGGGATCATAGTCTGCAGGGAATGTGGACTAAAATTTAACTAATACTTTAATTTCCATTTCAGTGACTATATCATGGCTACGGGGCCAACAGATGTCATACAGTCACCTGAACCAGGGGAGACAGCCGAAGAGTACACAGGTAAGCAGGAGATCTGCAGTCGGATAGCTGATTTGTAAGCCAAGGTTTGTTTTCTTCAGGTTAGAGGGCCATCTATAGGGACCTGGTTGGCGGTTCTGTTTTGACTTTTTTTCTGTTTGGCTTTGTCAGCTGGCAGTATTATAGGAAGGGCATTTGATGTGCCCTACTGGAGGCTTGTTTTCTGGTTATTTTCTGGTTCTGCCCTGGATTTTCAGAAAACAGGACACTGGAGCTTGAGGAGCTGGCTGTTGTGTCTGCTGTGACGACGGATGCTGTAAGCCAGCTCTGCTGTGTTGGGGCTGTCTGTGGGAGCTGTGAGTGCCCCACTGCAGCCTAATGCACTGGTCTTGGCACAAACAGCCAGTTGTTACTTATCATGTCAACTAGTGGCATGGGCTGATTCAGACAGCCATGAGGGAATGGAATAATCTGAAGGAAGAGGAAATACCTTGCACCAGAGTTGTTTTAATAAAAGCAAATCCCCTGTGCTAATGTTCAGTCTGGTGTTGGGAAGCTAAGCAAATATAAAGAATACCACGAAAACTGAGGCATTTCAGCAGTGACTGTCGTACCACTGATAGTTTTTTTTTTTCCCCTTGGCTAACATTTCACAATCGTCTTCAATGTTTCAGTGCTTCAAAAGTCATCTTGCTTCTTTCTTTAGAAATACATCTGCTGCCTGCAGAATATTGGTAGAAGAGAGAAGCAAATGGCAAAGGGTCTTGTAGTTGAACCTTATACAGCAGATGGATAAGGGTGAAGGTAATGTGATGTTGGATGCTCAGTAGCAGCTGGTTTCCTAAATTTTGTAATCTAGTGTACCACATTGGCTGCTGTTGTTCATGATACACTGGTGACCTTGTGAGAAAACCCACATATGCAGATTTTGTGCTAGTTTGCTGGTGTTCAGGAAACAGATCAAATTCTGGCCCTGGTGACAAGGCAGGAAATGCCTTGTTGTCCTCAGTGTTGGCTCTAAGAAAAACAGTGACATTTCTATCTCCAACTGAACCAAACCTCAAGAATGTTAAAAGTTGCTGCACTATTGCAGAATGATTCAAGGGATTCTTGACTGGCCCTGAAAAATCCTACCTTGCCTTTTAAACATATCCTGTTTACATCCCATGTAGAATTGTCTCACCTCTTCCTCTTCATAGCTTTCAGTGACCCAGAGGCTTTGGGGGCTGAAATTCCCAGCCTTCACAGTCAAGTCAATTGGATTAATTTCTTGGGCTTTCCCTGATTGTCTGACTGGTTTTACAGGGCTTTTAGCGTGTGCTGCTTCTTTCAAGTAGAGACAGCATCACTGTCCACAAACTACCAGCATCCAATGCTAGCCTTGCTGAATTCCTTGATTTTATTGCCTGTCTAGCAATGCTGAGTGTTTGTAATGAAGCTAGAATAATGGCATCTTATGAGGGTCTTGTCTGTTTTGTTGGTTGGTTTCTTTGTTTTTAATCCTGTGCTTTTATTGGTGAAACATCTACTGGATTTGAAGGAAAAAAAAAAAGCGAAGTGTGCCCTGATTACACCTTAGGAAGTTAGAGAGAACTGAGTATAAGCTAATGAGCTAAATCAGTTAGAATAAGCAATTCATTTTCAGGAAGGCTTTTGCTTGCTAGGACAGTAGCCTTTAAATATAGTATTTTATTTTTAATGCCTTAAAATGGAATTTTGGCAACTGCAGGCATTTGGAAATGATGAGTCAATGTCTATCAGTGGGTGAGTGGGGAATAGGCAGTTGTCTGAGCTTGGGTTTTTCTCACCCTGTTTTGACTAGATGTTTGTTATGCAACAACTTTCTTCCACTTTAAGCAGTAAGATCTTTGTGCTTGAGTTGTCACAGAGCACTCTACCAATTTAATGACATATTGGCCTTATCACAGGGCAATTAAATGTAGATACCTATGAAGGAAATGTACCACTGCCATCAACAGTGTGCGGAACAAATACACAAGTGTTTGCAGCAGAGCATTGATATGAATCCTTCTGGGAGGTGTCATCTTCATCAAATGCTCCAGTGCAGAGCAGTGCCATGGTTTTCATTTCTGCGCAGCATAAAGTGCTTAGCAGTCATCTTTCTCATGCCATAATATGGCAATTGCCCATCCTCTGGAGCTGAGAGAAACGTGGTGTTCCTCACTCTGAAGCAGCTGAAGATACGCTGCTGAGCAGAATGCAGCTGAAGAGGAATTATTGCTGGAGGAGTGTGCCCTGACATCAGTAATACATTGGAGTGTAGAGGAGGCTCTGAAGTAACCAGTGTGTCTGCACTGGAGAACTCCATGTAGTGCACCAGTGCCCAGGTATTGGCCCAAGCCAGCTGAGGTTTACTAATTGGCAGTGGTCTCAAATCCTTTCTGTAGTCTCTTCTAAAGCTAGCACCATTTCTGATCTAAACAAGTGTTTGGAGTAGTGCCCTGACAACATTCTCCTTTGTGGTAGGTCTTAATATCTGTTTCTCTTGTATCTTTCCCTTAGATGTTTTTAGGATCACTTCTTTTGTTGTTGGTAGTGGGTTTTTTTATTTGTATTCCAAACATTCACCTGCTGCTTCTGGAAATACTAGCCTATAATTGCACTCATTGGTAATACGCTGACTATACCACTGGTGGCTGCCTGGTGTAGGACAGCTTTATATGCAGCCAAGTTTGCTCTTCTGCTCTTTGAGGCTTCAGAATGCGCTTGCAGGCATTGCTGGAGTGGTAATTTTGGGGCACTGCTTCATGAAAATGTTTAATCTTTTGTTTTGCTTGTCTGGTGTAAACCGATTCCCCTTTGTCAGTTTTGCTGGGAGAATACCATGTAAGTTGTGTAACTGCTGATGTGAATGACAGCAATGATGGAGAGGTGTTTCTGAAGCCTCTAAAGCCTCGATCAACACAGTTGTGCTCTCTGTGGGCACGATGCTCTTTTGATTGCTGTGTGATCTGTCTTCTCTTACCATCTCTCTCATTGAGCTCCATGAGAGTCTTAAATCCAAAAGCTTTGTGCTCAGCTCTGGAGTCCGAGGGAGTCAATTTATCCTGTTTGTTTTCCATGACTACCTCGTTCACTTACTGTCTGAGAAGCAGCTCTTGAGATCTTCTGCTGATAAACCCTCCATGGGAGCTCCACATCTCATCTTTAGGTGAGCAGGAATCCATTGGCAGTTTTACACTGTACTGTTTGAAAGATGGCTCAGAGCCAGAGGCAGCCCAAAGCAGTGGAAAAGTAAAGTGCAGGTCTTCCATGGCAGCTGCATTCTTGTATGTCACGATGCATGTTGCTGGCGCTGGCCTGAGAGCCACGAGGAGATGGGGGAACAGATCTCAGCATCATTGTTTACTTCTCAGAGTGGCTACTGTGTGGTGTGTGATGCAGCTGTGTGGTGGCACAGTTTCAGCCCTGATAAGGCTTGCTGGCAGAAATCCCTACACGTACAGGGCACACGTTGAGACGGAGCATTGCTGACTAAATCTTCACTGGGAAAAGACAATGACTGTGGAAAGAATGCCTTGCTTATTCAGGAATCTTCCAGCTGTGAACATTCATTATGCCAACTGCTGTAAAGTATTAATTGAACAATGAATTTGGCTCTGATACGCAGTGATGTTATTGCTCTGCATATGCATTTATGTCCACCACAAGGGTCTTAGTACAATAGCTTGGCCCAGACCACTCCAAACCAACCCTTCAGTGTAAGAGTCAGTGACAAATAAAATGCAGCTCTTGTGCATTGAAAGAAAATATAAATAATAATGATAAAATATCTTAGTTTATTCAAAATGAAAGACGTCAATTATGTCCCTTACAGTCTGTGCTGTTCTTTTTGTATTTCTTTTCGCTTCAACAACAGTAGAAAATCTGAGATCAACAGTTTTGTAATTATGTTCTCAGAGCTGCTGTGTTTGGGGGTTTCACATCCTGCAGGTGAGCATCTTCATTTCAGCTTGCTCCATTGATCTTGGAGGAGCTGATTTTAATTTGGAGCAATACAGATATTTTTGCTTTAGGGTTTTTAAATTCTCTTGCCAGTTTTAACCTCTTTGTGTCCTTACAGCACTGAGTAAAGAAAAAGCGGAAATAAACAAAGCAAATTAAAGGCATTCAGAGTGAAAGATTTTAAAATATTGTTTTATCGAAGCTATACTGAGTCTGATTTGTGTTATCACTGTTCAGCTGTAGATAGAAGTGTTCTCTACGTAAGGTGCATTTTTCATAAACTGGAACCTAAGTAGGCAGCACCATTGTCAGCTGAAGGCCAGCATTTCCTTTATAGGCAGCCAGTCTAAGAACTGCAGCTTCACCTTTCACAGGACTCTGGCGCTGAATTATTTACAAAGCAGCTGGTTAGGACTGAATGGGCTGCTCCTGCTCCTGGCTCTCCACAGGCTTCCTCCAGGATTTAAGAAAAAATTTCTCCAAGCTAAGCAACACCTCCAACTTCCGTAAATTTTCATTTTTCTCATGTTGCAGGAAAGAAAAAATCCAGATTTCAGACTTTCAAGAACTTCTTTGCCAAGAAGAAAAGGAAAGAACCTCCACCTCCCAGAGGGGAGAGTAACTTAAAACCTAGCCAGTCCATCAGGGACGTCAGCATCTATGTGCTCGATGCTAACCCACTTCATTCGCCGAAGGAGGCTGGGTAAGCTGGCGGGGAAGGAAAATAAATAAATAAAAGCAGACCTCTTGCTGCAATAGGATGAAAGCACAAGTTGGCCCCTTAGGAGCAGCCTCCGTCCAAGTCTGTGCAAAACAAGCCCTAATGCTGATGAAGGAATTCCAGGAATTTCCTCTTTCTTTGCTACTTGCTTCAAAAGCCAACATGGAGGAGAGGGGGAGGGTAGCCAGGGGCAGGGGTGATCCAACCTTGTAGACTGTAAAACTGAATACAGCCCAGATTGTTTTGATTTGTTTTAGTCTTTGAAATCTGTCCTGGAAGGTCTGATAATCATCAGCTTTACAAGAGGAGAATGATTGAATTCTGCAACACAGGGAATACGTGCCAAGTTGAGTTGCTATTTTTTAGCATAAATTGTGGCCTCTGGTTGGGATAAGGGAAAAGAAAGAGTTATGTGTTCTTGGTATGAAAATGCTGCTTAGTTTAAATTTCTTGCACAACCATTTAGGTACAGGGAGCAACAGAAGCCCTCTAGTTTTGTGTCAGCCACCGTGAAGTGCTGTGCATATGAGTGAAGTTTGTGCCCACAACAATTCTCTGGTCACAGAGTGGAGTCAGTTCAGAAAATTATCCTTTTTCACTTAGTTAAATAGAAAGTATTAGCTTGCACTGGTAATAGTGCTTCACCTATAGCCATAGACCATCTATGCTACAACATTTACATTGCTTGGCCCTATTTCTGGAACAGGACAAACCTCTGAACACGGTTATGTCTCTCACCAGGGGTGTCACAGGTCAGTATCTTGCAGCCTGTAACTTGGTTGCTTTCCAGCTTTCCTCTCCTTCCACAACTATTCAGGCCTCTCTTTGAGTATCTCAGGCCTTGGATTGTGGAGTTACGGACTGGATGGACCAAGTGTGACAGTACTGATCACCTCCCAGGGTTTGCAGTATGTTGTTGGAGGGAACATTGGATGCATAAGACACTGGCAGAAGCCATGAGTGTGAGACTCATTAAGTCAGCATTGCTGCCAAATGCACTGTATCATTGAAAAAGACATTAGGTACAGCTGGATGCTACTGGTTTCTCCTGGTGGAATAACTTATGGATATTACTTTCTTACTGTTTCTTGTGCCTCCTTGTGCTACCATTCTCCACTCTGTCTGTTATAATTATACAACTGCATCATAAAAACAATTTGGGTTTAAGGAAACAATGATTTATTTCTTTCATTTGTTAGTGCAATATTAACAGAGTAAGTAACTGGCTACACAACCCCTCCTTAGGATAAAGGGAATTTTAGTGACTCAGCTAACCTGGTCCCAGAGGTTTAGGAATGGCTGAGCTTATCCCATCAGCCCTTAGAAGGGATCTGGCTTGAAGTCAACTGTCTGCTACAGAAACTGTGTAAGTGAGAACACTTTTCTCTTGCCCTTCTCCAAGTCCAGTTGCTCTTTTCCTCAGCCCTTTTCTCCCTGCTCTCCAGTGATTTAAAACTGTTTCGTAAGACCAGAGATCAATAAGTGAGTAAAATCTCTCCATTTTTTTTCCTTTAGGCTTAGGATTGGTTGGACTATGCAAGAAAAAATAATAATAATAAAAAAAAGTATGTTTGTGCTATTTGAAAACCCTGTCCTGTCCAGACTCTGCATGGCATGAGCACACTTTATAGACACCAAGAGAGGCTGATTGGACAAATCATTTGGAAGACCTGATCTTGAAAGCCAATGGAAGTACAGCTTTGAAGGGTCTGTAGTCAGGTCCTGAGCCTTGCAATTCCTGGCATGCTGGATACAAAAGCCAATCCTAAAACAGTTTTGTTTATTGTTCTTAAGACAGAAGTATTGGGTTTGCTTCTTTTTCCTCCTTCTACTCTTCCCATTCCTCCTCCTTTTTGTTTTCATTTAACATGCAGTCTTCTTTGAATAACATCCAGAGACTGAACCCCAGATGTACCAAATGCCATGGTGCTGCAGGGAATCGATGAGGTTGGTCATCTGTGAAGGAGAAGTGGGCGGAATGTGCCACTACTTCTTAGTTTTCTGAGAGGTGTGAGTTTTGAATGGAAATAGAAAAGCTTCCCTGACGGCAGTGTTAAGGCGCTGGGTTGAAAGCCCCATCATATCCTTAGGGATAGCAGCTTCAGGGGTGTTGCACATGAATGAGTTGAGCTTTTGCATAGGAAAAGCAGTGCTGGAAATAAAGTAGCTAAAACATCTAGGGGTTTAACTAACAGTGTCTCTTTTACTTCAGTGCAAATAAAAATACACTGCCTGGAGTTGCACACAAATGTTTGCACATAAAAGACTCATCTGTATGAAATCTACAGTTAATTCTAAGTATATTTCATCTGATGCTCTTTTTGCTGCTGCCAGACAAAAATACAGTAATTCTCTTGCAAATGCAAGTAGAGTCAATGAATCATCGAGGTTGGAAAAGACGTTCAAGATCATTTTGTCCAATTGTTATGATATATATACAGAGAGAAAGAAGTGAATGTCGTCATCACCTGACATACCACCCTGGATTCCCTCTCTAGCCCACAAAGACCAGGTTGTGTGTTCAAGGCTGATGCTGCTCACATCCTAAAATAGAAACTTCCATTCAATTAGCATCCTAAAAAGTTCTTCCTCTTCCCTCCTGGGTGTAGAAGGATCTAGCTATGACTACCTCAATCAGTTAGCTTGCTGTTGAGTGAGATGCATCTCACCCCCTTTTCTTTAAGATCACCATGCAAGGAAAAGTATTGGAGAGCTGTACCTATGGCATTAACTGCTCTTCCTTCCTTCTAGGCCCAAAGGAAACATGGGAAACAAAGCCTTGTCGCATGACAGTGTCTTCATTTTTGAGTCCGTATCAGGAAGTGCAGCAGGTGACACGTCATCTCAGGAATGCATACCTGGAAGAGTGAAAACTTTGCAGGTGAGAACATCTTTTTCTCATTCATGGTGCTACCTTCCATTAGCTGTCTCCCAGGAAACTCTGTTGCTTGTTGCCTCTGCTGTGTGTTGTGTTGACTGAAGCATCCAAGGCAGAACTGCTTTGGATCTGTTCAGCTTGTTGGAAGCTGCGTCTTTGAATAGTTGTGGTGTTTTCAGCCTTGTCCAGGTCCCCTACTGTGCAAAGAGTCTGTGAACTGAATCTTTCCTTAATGAGTAAGTCTTCTTCCAATGGAATTCCCATTCTTTACTTCATAGCTGCTGCTTTTGGGTTAAGGCCACTTATCTGTACTGTGTTTTTTGGAGCTGTTGGGTTTTTGTTGCCTTTTTTTTTTCAATTCTGGCTGCGTTTCTTTTCCACACGTTAGCACCAGGGTCTGTGCAAGTGTGTGGGATGATGGATCTGTCAGGTCATTATTAACGACAGCTTTATTTATACCATTATTCTTCTGTTCTCTGCCAGCAGAGGATACTGTTTTCTGCTAGGTCATTTCCTTCTTCCAAAGCACATACCGATCCTTCCTTGACGGCTCTCTTATCAGCTGCTGGCTACGTTAACTGCGTTCAAATAGTTACCCAGCTCAGAGCACTGAGATAAAAGTTTAAGGCTTTTCCAGAGACCAAAACAAACTGTTGATAAGGCAGCCAAAGGCCATTGAAATTCTTCCTTGGCCCAATGTGAGCTTCATGTTGCAAAGCACCATTGCATCACATGTTAAGAAACCGAAGATGCACAGAGAGACTTGTTCCTCCATGAGACTGCAAAGTAAGCCAACCTTCAATTCAGGGTATTTTTTTGCACAACAATAGGAGCAGCAGGGGAGGTCGTGTTTGTGTATGATAGAACTTCACTGAGGAGAAAAACCTCTTTTCATGCTATTTCCAACTCCCTGTGCCCTCTCCTCATCTGTGTGTCATCCTTCATGGTAACTTAATACTGCCAGCACTACTTTCTTAGCAATGAAAGACAGCTTGGTTTTGTGTTTGACTGTTGTCAGATTAAAAGCCAAGCGCTAACAAAAGCAGATATTTTCTTAGGAGCATAGATTAACCTCTACTAGTAAAAGAAAAACTGCAAATTCAGATTTTCTCACCTACCACTTTACTGTCTGCATGCAGTAAATTTAGTAAGTCAGAGATGGCAAGTTGTGAAGAGAGAGGAGAATAAAATTGGCCGTGTTCTTCCCATTAAATGCACATATGTTATATATCATATTTTTTTGCCCTTATAATGCAGTCTTTGTGCAGTTTGTTGTCAGTCTTGATTGTGCAGACTGTATTGGTAATACTTATTTGACTGATCAGGGTAAGAAGAAGGAAAGCTGTTTAAATTGGGGGCCTGGAAGTTGAGGATGCCATTGTGCTACCATGTGTAACTGCTTTAGCTATTGGATGAGCAGCAAATGAATCCCACTGAATGACAGCTGCTTAAATCTGTTTTAAAGGGTACAAGTGAATGCATAGCTTTGAGAACAGCATGAAATTTAGGTGTAGAATGTCCAAAGTTAGTTCAATAAGCAAAGAACCAGAAAAAAAGAGGTCTGCATGTTTATCCTGGGGAAATGAGGTCTGAAGCACAAAAATGCTGCTCAGACCTTGTCTATACTCCAGATGTGACACAGTCAAAATACTTAAGCCAAGAGTTCAGGTAATGGTGTTTCCTGAGTTTGGAGCTTTTTTAGTTGGAGGGAACATCTGGCTCCTTGTGAGGTTACAGACTTTGTTTTCTTGCTGAGGGTCAAGGCCTGCTGGAGCACTTTTTTGTGCAGGATTGGAAAAGAATCTCCATGCTCCTTTACAAACAAAGCTGTTCCTGACCGTTGTTATCATTCTTGCTGTAGACAGAACCGGGACGTGATGGTGGGGCAAACAAACAAGCAGCTCCTTAGGGTGGACCAGAAATTGAATAAAGTTCTCTTTCTGTAAGCAGTGGGTCTTAGTGATTTGTGCAGCAGAGGATGGTGACAAGCTGGTGGGATTTGGAAGGGCTTTGGGAAGAAGAGTTGTCCTCATAAGCCTGGGATGGGAATGCTGGCTCACAGTACTTTGTGGGACTGTTTGGGTGTCCTGGCATGTGTAATCATGTAGAGAATTTTTAAGCCTAAGATAAAAGCTTAAATCTAAACTTAGTTATGCTGCTATGAATTTTCTTGCCTGGTAAAATTTGTCTTGGGTAACTTACTGAGTACAACTGATTTTTAAGTTAGTTTTGCATGGAAGTCTGTTCTAACTATGGGTCCTTGATGTATACAATTAAATAAAATTTAATTAATGTTTCTTTTTTTTTTCTTTTTTTCTGTGAGTAGCTTGTTCCTTCAAATACTTTTGTTAAACAAAAGACTCCTCATGTCTAATAGAAGCAACTGGGGTAAAAGTTTCCAAATTATAGACAGTGCCAGTGAAAGTCTAAATTGCTCTTTAACCACAGCTTCAGCTGCAGCGAAACATCAGGCTTGGATCTCCTCCACTTGTTATCACTGGAAAGAAAACGGAAGATGCCGGCACAGTTTCGGAGGATGATGGATTGCCCAGAAGCCCTCCTGACATTTCAACCCTTCATGAAGTTCTGACCGATTCACCAAGCAAGGTACAGTTGTTACATCACTTCAGTGACCTTCTGCACAGAAAAAATAATATCTGTTTGAGGAAGGGAAAGGCCTTTTTGTTCACTTGTGATAAAACCTCTGTACACACAAATATGTGTTTTGATGCCATTTTCTATTCTGTTTATGCAATCTCATGGTATTTAGACACGATAGTTGTGTAAAACACCACTGGAGTCACTTAAAGCTCTTTCTACTGCCAGGTATCTTGTGATGGTACCCATCAGTCAGAACTAGAATGAGTTATCTATGAGTTTGGTGGACTCATCATTGTACAGTTTTCTGGGCTTTATGTAGACTTCTTCTGGGGCAATTGCAACCTATATCATAAAGGAAGGAGGAGAGTAAGTCAGTTGGTAGGACATTTCTGAATGCCTTTGGGAAAGGCAGTGTCTCCTGGCAGGTCCACAAGGCAGAAAGCATAAAAAGTGAAGTATTCACGGTGAGTGTTGTGTTAGTGTGACTGTACCACTCCCAGCCTGAGAACAAGCTGAGGTACACACACTGCACAGACTTCCCATGTCTCTGAGCACCAAAGAGCTGGGCAGATTGGCAGTTTGCTGCGTATATGAAAGAGGAAGATATTTACGGTGCTTTAAAGCTAATAGGGAAAACAAAAGTAATGGGACTGCAGAAGAATCTTAGTTACTGGCTTTAGAATGTAATAGTTCAGAATCAGGGCAATATTAACTGAATTGACAGGGAAGCTAGAATCTCATGAGTATCATGAGAATAGGTGTTGATAGGCTCTAAAGAGACTTGGAGTTATCTTTCTTATGAATAGCCTTTCTATAGCAGATGCATGATTTTGGATTTGAGTGAGTATGCAAGCATTTGTCAATTCAAAGTTCTTAAAACAACAAGCCAAAAACTAAATTAACTTTAAAAAATGTGTTGGTTCAATTCCTCATTAAAGTGCATGTTGCCCTGTTGCAAATACACCCAGCAGAGCACTTTGGTTCTTTGAGGTCAACCTCTAAGGCATATCTTGTAGGAGGATAAAGTTCCCCTACCTCATGTCTGGTCTCCAGTGAACAAATCAGAGGTGTTCTGTGAGGCAGGGACTTTGCAGTCACCCTTCCTATAACTTTCCTCTTGTATTTTTTCATAATCTTAATGCTGCACGTCCAGTCCCAGGTGATTCGTTGCGATCCTTCCCTTGACTTACCCTCTTCCTTATTTTATCCCACAGTCCTCCAACCCTGTTCAACGTCATAGCTCTTTGAGTTTAGGCGGGACAGACAGTGAAGATGAACAGGTAAATAGCTACTCTTCCTGCTAATAAACCAGCATGTGTGGTGTCGGTATGGAGCCATTACAGTACTCACTTTGTGTATCCTGGGTTAGAGTATGTTGTAGCAAACTGCTCATGAACAGTCCAGAGTGGTGCCAACGGTATTGAAATCATATCTCTCACAGAGTTTTCAATAAGAACCAAATAAACAAAGGCAGAAATCTACTGGTAGGGAGTTTGTGTGAACAGTGTAGTCAGCTCTGTAACACAGTAGAAGTCTTTAAAGTTACACAGCAGAAAAACAGACAAGATAGGAGGACTAGAAGCACTTCATCTCCTCTTCCATGACCAAATACCCAGCAGCACTTACAGCTTAATAACACCTGTCGACCAGTGGCTTGCAAGCAATGGCCTGCTTCTCATCACTGGCAGTAAGTGCAGGATCTGTCCTTTTTACACCACATTCCTCAGGAAAAGCTCCGCACTGATTTGGCATTTCCTCTGAATGACAAGTGACTATCACAAGCAGCAAGTTCTGCTGTCAGGACAACACATTCTGTTACTTGACCAGCCTGGCAAAATGTATAGAGGTCATGTTTTTGCAGGGTGCTTTGTTGGTTTTCTCCTTGACTGTCCCTGCTGGTTGGAGCTGAGTGGAGTTCCTGCCCACCCCACACTCTCAAACGCTTCGTGCCAGCCCATGGCTGAGGAAACTCGCTTTCATTCTCTCCTTCTCCAGCCTTTGAAAAAGGAGAGAGAAACCAGCTCAGCTTCCCTGTCTACGGTTGAGACCAGGTGCTTTCCTGCATGGTCATCCCTTGATCCTTTCCTTTAGGAATGGAAAGATTCTTTGGAAAGGAAAGGTTCTTTCTTTTTCTCACCACTTCCCTAGGAATCTGGCTAATTTCTACAGTGCAGCATCTGTTTCTTTACCTGGTATTTTTTTGGTGAGCAGTTTGGCTAAGCAGAAATCTTCCTAATATGTTTATTAAAACTAAAAGTCGTAATTCCGAAGCAATCATCAGGTGTTTTTTTCAGTAGCATTTGTAGGTCTTTGTGTAATGCCAGGATTTGAACTAGTAGAACAAGTTGCTACAGGGAGTGACCTCATCCCAAAGATGAAAGAAATGCTGAAGAGCACCGAGAACTCAGCAACATTTGTTCCATTTAATAACATGTTTGTATTTATTAAAGAGAATTCAATCCTAAGCAGTGTGAATCGACACACAGTGTGGTGGTTTACATTTTACTTGCTTTTGACGCAGAGGATGGCTACTGAACATCTCTGAACCCCCTCTGTTATGTTCCTGGGCTTTCCAAGACCTTTCATGCTGTGTGAAAAACCCTGATGCATCGCTGGTGTCAGTTCTTGGAGACTTCTGCATTTATAGATGCCAACTTCCTGGTTACCTGGGGATAAATCTGAGACTGTCAAAGCCAGCATCAGGTGACTTTGCAGAGACACTGACCAGCACTGACACTGCTTTGCCAGAGAGTCTGTATGGAAATCTAACTTCAGCCCAGGGCAAATAAAATCAAAGTAGGGCCTCCACTTCTGTGGCTGGGAACAATTTTTTGGCACAAACGCTCTGTAGGAAATGTGCCTCACAGCACTCTCTGTGCAGGCTTCCATCACTGCATGAGAACCAGCACCAAATCTACCTTATCCTCCAATGTTGGTGTGCAAAGCCTGTCTCTGCTCCGCTGTTGGTGAGAGAAGATACCAGTCATCAGTCAGTGCTCACAGGAAAAAAATATCCTGAATATCCTCAGTGGAATAAGCTGTATACATTTGCCATTTATAACAGCAGCTGCTCAGATGCTAGTTTTAGGTGGTTTGTATATTAAATAAGCAGAATTGTGATTCCATAATTGAAAGGCAGAAGAACTTGAATGTGATCCTTTTGAGCTTAGCATAACATTAATCTTACAGAATTATAGTAATAACAATTTACTAGATGTATTCTTCTTTGTCTTTTCACAATGTATAAAACTTTTGTGAGCAGAATCTCAGACATTCTGTTGTAATTTGTTTCAGTCCGACGATGGCATAGGGAATAAGGAAATGAGCTTCAGTTGCTTTAAACACAAAACAGCATACTTAGTTTTTGTAGCTCAGTTGGTAAGATGCTCTCATTATCTTTAGAACCTTATCAGCATACATATGCTTCACATTCCATGCAGTATATCAGGCTTAAACCAAGCCAAATGCCAAGCCCATGGCTGTTTCACCTGCTTCTGTGTCCAGAGCCAAAGTAGTGAGTGTGTTAGACTGAATCAAACTTATTGAGCATGTGTGACATTTTGCAGGTCTGCATTTCAAATCAGTAACAGTACCAGTCCCACTGCATGTTTAGGGGTTTCTCTACGAGCATTCCTGTAAATGCTGTATTTTGATCATTTAATCTAAGGTTGCTGCTGTTCAGATCCCCAGAGCAGCACCGGTATGGGGACGAGATCCACACCCCTGTCTGGGAGATGGGTCTGGGAGATGTATTGGAGAGAAGCATTGGTTCTTATCCTGGGAGGGTGATATTAAGAGCTGAGTGGTTGTGGTAACTTTCTTAGAAGTAGAAGGAATGAGGAGAAAACACCCATGCTACTGTGGCTTTTTAATAGTACATTCCTGCATTGTGTCTCATTATCTGGAAGAAAAGGCATCTATAAAAACTGCACCAGTGTCTCCTGCTGGTGCATATATATATTGCAAATGGCTTCTCAGACACTAAGTGGGAAGGGGCAGCTGAGGCACTTGCAGTGGGCATTTCTCACTTCTGTGTAATGTACAGCTGCGAACATGCAGAGCTGAGGAATCTCTGTGCAGAAAAAACATTAGACATGCATAGACATCAGACGTGCATTAGACATTAAAGTAAGGATTTATGTCTGTTTCAGGCTTCTGAAACAGAGTAAGCTAACAAAGGAATGATGTTTCAGAGCTGTGGGAGTGTGGGCAAAACATACAGTGACATGTCTGTGTTTTACAGATACCTTCTGGAGATTCCTCCAGGCCCATCAGTCCTTCAGCCTCTGCTGCTCCAGGGGCTGCAGGCTCACGGGGCAGCAGCTCCCTTCCCATTGACTTCACCATCCCTGCCAGCCCCCTGGGCTGCCTGGACACCTCTGCTGCCCGGCACCGCATTGCCATCAACCCCCGGAGACAGAAGGGCTTTACCAGCAAGAGCCAGCAAAGCCAGGTGGGTCTCCTCTGCAAAAGAATTCCTGTGCAGAAAGAACATGCTCACCTTCCTTTACTTTTTGCCTTCTGGAAATAGGTGACAAACCACATGATTTTTTCCAACCCATTACTTCAGTGAAATAGATGCTGAATAAAAATGCAACTTAATTTTTTTTCATTATTCACTCAAAAAAATTTCATGTTATGACTCATCTGTAAAAACATCCATATTGTTTGAAAAGCTTGTTTTCAGTTTTAAAGAAGCCCAGGCCTATTTCTACAAACAATTTCAGATTATCTTTGGTGTAATTTTTTTTTTATGCCGAAGGAAGGGTCTTAGGAAGGGTTGTGCCTTTGCTTGTGAGAATCTGTTGCTGAGGTGGATGAAAACAAAAAAAATACAGAAAGTCTTGAGCTGTCTCTGTGGCCTGAGAAAGTATACTTGAGTGATAATGGGATGAGAAACCTCCTGGAAAAGAGAAATTAGGATGAGAGGCTTGTCTTCTTGCCCTCTAGGAAATGTGAAGGTGACGTTTGCCACAAGGAAAGGCAGCAGTGAAGCTGGAGGATGAAGGAAAAAGGAACAACCCTTCTGTACTGCGTGTGCCCCCTCCATCATAGACCCATGCATGGCAATCTGTCCTGGAGTTAGAAGTGCCCCACTCTGAGGAAGGGAGGGAGAGCTGGAAATTTTGGAAGACTGGAATATAGAATGAGGTTTGCTTGGAAACTTGGGCCCTGTAGCATCTTTGCTGGATGTTTTTGTGCTGTGGCTGGTGCAGCTGTAGTGCTGAAGGAGAAAAGCTAATTGGAATGGTGGTCAGAGGTACCAGAAGTGGTGGTGATGTCTCTGCCTTGCTCTGTTCTGTCATCAGGTTGCTTGGGTGACCTCTTCAAAACATGTTCATTCTCTCAGAGTACATGAACCTCAGAGTTTTCCAGAGACCTTTGATAGTTTAAAACATGAATGATTTTGAGCTTCTTAACTGGGATAGAACGTTACCCACAGTGTTGGTAAATTACAGAAGACAGGTTTCGTTTCTAAATGTTTTGTGTATTCAAAAACATCCATGTGTATTTATAAAATACAATTTTTGTGCATTATTCTTTAATTAAAACATCTTTCTGCACTTCATTAGGTGGAACACATAGAAAAAGAAGCATGCCTTTATGAAACTCCTGAAAAGAAGGGAAATCCAACAGAATTACTTGAAAGTGACCAGCATAAAAGTGATTGGGAAGGTAATGCAAACTTGTGACTTTCCAAAACAGTGGATTGAACTCTTCTATAATAGGCCTACATGACCTATTTTGGCTGAGAGTTCTTTCAAACCAGGCACCTTCTCAGTTTTATACTTTAAAACCAGTCCTGGATGCTGAAGTGTGATGGTGACGACATCATATTCTTCAGTCAAACTGTGGTGCTCTTTGAGGACAGTGTGAAAAATAAGTGAGGTGAATGTACCAGGTTCAGAAGTTCTACACAGCTGGCTAGTTCACATTGGCTGGGGATGAGTTTCCTGAAACTCGGAAGAAAACAACCTCAGCATTGCTCCAACCCAAGCCATTCTGTGATCCTATGATTCTGTGATTCTGTAATTGTATGTTACATGTGTAAGGTGGCGTTAATTGGCTTGTTTACTAGACCTTCCTCTCCTGCCTTCCCTCTTATCATTTGAATAACAGCTAATTACATGTGGTAAAACAGCTGTAATCTAACTTGTAAAAGCAACTGAAATTTCTGCAGAATAATGCATACATTTTTACTTAGCACTATATTAAAAGTGCACTGACTGATGGTAATGCTACAGTGTAGTGGGAATGTTGGCATCTTGTTTTCAGGGCAGACTCATGGCCTGACCCTGTGGGAGCTAGCTAAGTGTTGCTAGCTCAAGAAATTAGTGTCTGTCATTTGCATGAAAAGCACTGAGGATTCCTGCTGTTTCACAGGAGCGAGCACCAAATGGAGCACACAGATATCGCCTGCTTGCTAGCTGGGCATCTCTACTGCATTAATTTGAGTCTGCTGTACACAAATTGTGTTTTAGTCTTGCACATGGGGAGGAGTAATCGCACACATCAGTACAGGTTAGGGGCTGGAGAAGAGTCTGAGTCTGCACTTGAAGGTGTCAGCTGTGGTGAGTCTTGCTGGTGTATTTCTATCCCAGATTTCCCAGATATCAGTGCAGGTTGGTGGGTCTCAGGTGCTCAGGGAGGATTGAATTTAATGTACACTCTATAGTTGATAAAGGGTAACATCAACCCCAGGTGAGCTGCTTATCTCACTTGGGGTACATGCATTGCCTGTCCCTGCAGCCGTCCCTTGAGCTGCTTCACAGAGAGACACATCAGAGTTACTCCATGTGCAGACATCTCTCTGCCATGCAGGCGCTCAGCAGCCCTGCCGCAGCTCCAGGAGGCTGTGCTACCTGATGCTGAGATCCTCTGTTCAAACACAAAAAAATCCTCCAGGTCAATCTAGACAACTGTTTTAGGTATATGCATGAGGAAATATCTAGGGAAATCCAGATATCCAGAAATCTGTTTGTTAGCTTTACAAACAGGGATGCACACGGGAAAGAACTAAACAGCCAGTGATAAGGTACACCTTGAGCAGACAACACTCATTTAGCTTTATTGTAAAATATGCTTTAACAGCCATTTTTCTGGTATGAATTACTAATATAGATGGTGCCTGAACCTTGAAATGCACGCTCTTCTCTTGTTTAATATAGGCTTATCAGCCCATGTGGAGCATGGTGAAAAGGGAGGTGGTTCTAAGGAGACACCAAGTGTAAAATGTCCTGCTGATGCTTACCCTGACTCCTACAGTTCCACACTTATGGCAGAAGACTCTTGTACTCTGCTGCAAGAAGATGCATGCCTTCCAGATGTGGACCATCACTGTAATGCAGCCACATCTCTTCTGAGACCTGAGTCTCCTCCAGTGAGCCTGGGGGAACAGCACAGTGCTGCAGTGCCACAGTGTTCAGGTGAGACTTCTGGGGAACTGAATTTACATCAGCAAAATACCGATATGGAAGCATCTGCACTTCCAAAATCTCAACAAACTGAAGCAGGAGCTGTTGTGCTTCCAGGTGTACTAGCAGCTAACTTGTTTAGCAGTGGCACTGAAACGGAGAGTATAACTGCATTGGCATATGTTGCACAAAACTCCCCAGCAAAATCTGTGGACCAAAATGTCAAAGACCAGGAAAAGGTGGGTACACTATTGATTGGCAAAGTAGAAGCTTCTCTGGGTATTAATGAGAGCTGCTCCAACCAGTCTGTCTTAAATACCGCTCTGAGCACTTCACAGGTTGCTGTAGCTGATTCAGAGTGTTCTGACGTCAAGACAGTGGATGTTTTGAAGTCTGACAACAGCTCAGTGACAAGAAATGACAGTGAAACTTGTGAAAAAACAGAATTTCAGCCATCCAAAGGCAGTGCAGGAAAAAAACCAGACACTGCTGCGTCTGTGTTAGAAGCAGGTTGCATGCTACCTCCCAGCAAATTGGAACGATGCCTTAAAGCAGCAATACCTTGTCCTGTTTCAAAGGATAACCATGTCAGTCAGCAAACCTGCACATCACATGCTTCTGAAAAGCTTTCCATTGAAAGTCTGGCCTCTTCAAGTTTGGCTGGACTGACATGTAATGTCTCTTCTAACGATGACTGTAAGTACCAAGTAAGCAGTGCAGCTTCTCACAGGAAACCAGAGAAAGACAGTCAGTCCTCAGAAGAAAATATACAAAGTCTGCTAAAGACTGCTGCTGCGAAGCCAGTTAGGTTTACCATTGCACCTGCATGGCAAAGATCTCTCTCGGGGGGGTCAAATTCAAAGGAAGATTCCTATATGAGAAGTTCCCCAACCTCCCCTGTAAGACCAGAGTTATTTGAAGGAATAACAAAACAACATGCAGTCATCCAGGATTCCATGAAAAATAACTCCAACAGATTTGATCGAGATTGTAGGGACGGTGATTTGCATTTGAATTCTTCTCTGGAGTGGGCTGACCATGAAGCAAAAAGTGTTGAAAATCCTTTTGGGGTCAAATTAAGGAGGACATCTTCTTTACTGAAGTACCAGAGTGAAAGCCGTGCTGAGTCTCCAAAGCTGCTTCCCTCAGCTGCTTCCACTGCTTCTGCTGCAGTCAAGGAGGATCAGAAGCCAGCGAGCATTGGGAAGCCATCTCCCAGCCTTCCTGTCAGCACAACATCATTTTTAAAACAAGCCGATTTAGAAGACAAAAGTCCTGCCAAGACAAGATCAGAAGAAGGGACAAAGAAGCAAAATAGTACTAAACCTTCAGGTATTTATGCTGTACTTTTACTCAAACATTGTAGGAAGTGGTGACCTTTGAAAAAATGGCAAACAGAAGATAAAATCCTCTCGAAGAGGACCAAACTCAGCCTTGAGCTGAGTTTGATGATGGTTATTACCATCATTTCATAGCTTGATGATTGAGCCAGTCAAGAGAATTCTTGGCTTATCTTAATGAGGGGTGTGTTCCAGCAAGAATAATGTCAGAATAACAGCTTAAGGGCATCTGGAATATTTCTGGTGCAACCTATTTCTGCATGTAGTTGGCGTTTTAACACAGCTTTGTAAAAGTTGCTGCTGTTCTGTAGTTAATTTTCCAGACTGCAGTAGTGTTAACTAGGAGTTGCACTGGGCATGTTTTTTTTTTCCTATGGTCACTTAATTTAAAATACTCAAAAGGCAAAATGGTAGCCTGTGTTTTACAGCCGACATGAAAAAATAATGGTTATCTTACTGCAGTCTGCGGTGTAAGGATGTTGTTTCAAAGGCAAAATCCGGTTCACAATGGTCCCAGTGGGAGTTCTGCCATTGACTTAAACGGAAGCAGAGTTGAGTAAAAAACCGTAGAATAAACAGAGAAGTGGTTAATGCCAAGGACAGGATCATCAGGGAAGGTAATTTTATCTCCCTGGTGTTCAAAGGGTATTACAGAAGCAGAAGGATTTAAAACAGAAAACACACTAGCTTTTGGCTGATTTGACCTAAATCCCTTCTTTATTGCAAAAATATTTCTTCTATAGAAAAAGTATTCTCTCTACATTTGGAAACTGCTTCCTCTGAGCCGGCTTGGATCTCCGTGGCAAAACTAAAACAAAAGGGTTTCCAGGACCACCCTCTTGCCAAAGAACAGAAGGCTGAAGAGCAAACCTCGAGCAAAGATGATCGAGAGGAGGTAGAGTGCCAAGTAAAGTTACCTGGGGGTAAATCCTTCACCAAGAGCTGCTCTGCAGTGCAGCAGCTTTCTCACCATTGGTGTCCTACAGACAGCATTCACAAATCTGCTCCAGTGCTTCTGCTTCACTGCAGAAGATGTACTGAAGGTCTGGCTTCTCCACTGACTCTTGCATATATTTCCTCTGCAAGCCTTAAATTCCTGCTCAGTGAGAAAGAGAGGATAACTTGTTTGCATGTGCAGTGACCCTGTATTTGTAACAACTATCTTACTTCTTGTCTTCTCCCTCCCTAACTATTCCTGTCTGGCCTTTTCTGCATTTCCATAGTTAGATTTGGAGATGCTACCAGAGTTCTAATGGCAAGCTTTAGGAACACAGCTGTCTGGCAGGTTTCTTATTTGCCTTTTCTTTTTCTCTTCCTCCTTTTCTAGCAAGTCATCTGTGGTAGTGAGAACATACAGAAGAACATGCCTTCTAGCTTGAGGACTCAGGAGAAGAAACCACAAATGAAGACCAGTGTGTGTGCTGCAGCAGGTATCTCTTTCAGCCACATCTTTACATAATGGGTATAATTTACACCAGTAAGTGGTAAGAGTGGTAGGGAATGGAGAGTGGTGATGCACTGGAACAGGCTGTGCAAGGAGGTGGTTGAGTCACCATCCCTGGAGGTGTTCAAAAACTGTGTAGATGTGCTTCTAAGGAACATGGGTTAGTGGGCAGTATTGATAGTAGGTGGATGATTGGGCTACGTGATCTTAGAGGTCTTTTCCAACCTTAATGATTCCATGATTCTATTCTTTTGTATAATCAGCATACTTTGTATGAGGCCTGTTCAGACTGTAGTTTGCATATAAGTTGTATATGTGTTAGGTCATGTGTTTAAGTTTTATATGCACTGGCTTTTCAGCAGAGAAAGCAAGTGATGTGCTTTCATCTCCACGGCCTGTTCATGGAATGGCATTTAAACAGAACGGTGATTTATTACTGGCAAAGATCAATAATAAAAAATATTTTCCAGGAAGCAGTTGAAGTTGGATAGTGTCCAGAACAGCGCAGCAAAAAGGTCGGGTCTTCTAGACCTCCAGTCAGCCAGGAAATACTGATGGGAGTGGAGTTGTTTAGTCTACAGAAGGACTTAATTTGCTGCAGAGAGGAAGCTCATGCCCTGCATGAGCTTAGAATGCACTGGGGAGGCTGAAAAACTTCCTAACAATAAAGAGTACTGATACACAGAATAGGATAAGGTCTTCTAGATAGTCTGCAGTTTCCATTGCTGGATACGTTCAAGAAGAGGTTAGATAATCGCTCCTCAGGAATAATACAGGTAAGAGTCATTTCCGCCCCTGGGAGAGCAGAGGTTGAAAGGCCCCCCTCCTGCCCTATTAACTCTGATTCTCTGTATGAGAAATGCAAGGGAAGAGTGTGACTCAGACGCTGTGACTCACATGCCTTTTTCAGGGCTACTGCTGGGCTGCAGCTTATACCTCCCTGCTCACTCAGTGTGGTGCCAAGCACGCTCCAGCTAGGTACAGATAAGCCAGTTCTTCCGCTGTGCAAGCATCTTATGTGAGCTGAAAACTATTGATTTCAGATGCTGCCTAAGAAGATAAGAAATGCCTCAGTGTGTCAGAGGAGTGGCTCTGATCCAGATCCCTGTTGCTGACACTTTCACTACAAGGCCACTTTCCCCTTACAATCCACAGCACCCAGAATTCTTGTTATTAGAGATACTAAGGGGTTAACATCCCTGCCTCTTCCCCATGGTAGCCTTTATAGGCCATTCATCCCTTTCTGAGTTTACAAGTGCTACAGAATGAGCTTTCTCTCTTACTCCAGGCAGCTGACCAGCTGAGGATGTGCACCTGCAGGGAGACTCTATGTCTGTTGCTAGTCGAACTATGGGTAGGGGATGAAAATACCATCTTTTTTAGAAAGTATTCTGTTATAGGCCAACTTCATCTCACGGTTTTAGTTGCAAAGTGAGAATTTTGCTCAGATAAAATGGCAGTCTTCCTTTGAAAGGCTGTCCCAAACAGGCTGGATTTCTGCATTGAATTATCCATGTCTTGGAAGCCATGCACCCTTCAGCAGAAGCCCAGAACTGCACAAAGCGTGCTGCTACTCATCTAGTAGAACTCATCCTGCCTGTGAGCCTTGCAGCAGAATTTTTCTGCATCACCTCTTCCCAAGAACTGAACTAGTTTCCTGATAACCAAGGACTATTTCTCCCCTCCAGGGACAGCGTTTTTGGGATAGTCTTCCACTCCTGGAATGTCAAAGAGAACTCTAATCAGTCTGATGTTTAGGGGAAACATCACTCCTTAACTACTCAGAAAACCACACTTTGGAAACACTCAGCACAATCAGCACGTGAGCAGGAAGTTAGGAATCCCAAATGTAAACTCTCCTCTTCCTATTCAGTTCCCATTAGCACAGCCAGCAGTTCACCCAGTTGAAGGTGCTGTTGGTGGAGGGGATTTAGATTCAGTATCCAGAGGAGATACTTATTTGGATTTTGTTTTTTGGCTTACGTTAACTTGAGCAGTTTTCTTCTCCCATAATAGATGGCTGAGGCCTTGTGTACAATTCTGCACATTCTGTACGCAGCAGCAAAAGCCAGGACAGCTCAGTGTCAGCTAAGTTTGGAAACAAATTCCAAGAAATCAGATACTTATGCAGCTGAGTGCGTTTGGTTTGTTTTGCTGTGTGACGGCCCGTGCCCACATGTTCCATAACCATGGGAAGACTACCCAGCTTGCCTCTTCTCTCTTTCACTTTGCTTAAGCATGGTGAGGTTTGTCTCCCGAAAAGTGAAAACCCATTTTCAAGATTTCAGTACACTTAAATTCCTATATCCTCCTAGATGCTTTCAAAAAAATGTACTGTGCATGTAGAGCTGCAGCCTGGTTTTAGTGGATAGCACACTTCCTCCATTATTCCTAAGTATAGCTTGCCTCCTGCAAGGATAGCACTGAGTCAGGGCTGTGAAAGGAGACCTCCTGCATGGAGACATGGAACTTCCTCGGCTTTGATCTGGAGTGTGGCTGGTGAAGCTGATTGACATTTTTCATTGATTTAAGTGTGTGCAAGATCAAGCTTCCTGTACTTAGAGTTGCACAAGTCCCTATGTGGCCTCTGTTCTTGTGCTGGAGCACAGCAGCCTCATCTTGCCAGACACATGCCACACACAGGCTGATGTGGTACTGAGGAAATGTTTGAGTTTTCCCAGCTTGACTTGGACATGAAAATAATGTCCTGTATGGGTTGAAAGGGATGGGGAGAGCACAATGTTGAAAGACTTGTGAATCATATCTTGAGAAATGTGAGCTGTACCTGTGATGCCCCATGCCAGGCTGTCTGAAGTGATCAATCTTGAAAATTCTCTAAGAAGATGGAGGGAGGATGCCTTTTCTAAACAGTAACTCAAAGCCATACAAGGAGCCCTATCTACAGTCTTTCGCCCTTTGTGAGGATGACAGGCTTGTGTTAGGCTGCAATTAAAAGGAGCACCTAACTCTTCCAGAATCCCACCTTCTTGCATTTGACCTCTACCTAGTACTTAACAATATTTCTGAAGCAGAATTGAAGACCATCTACCAGTTTCTTTTAAGCCTTCAGTGAGCCTGGGGTGATCCTTGCCCTGCAAGTATTTTGCTTCCATTTTCCTTCATACTCAGTAGTTTTATTCCCAGATATTCTTGCCAGTCACAGAGCAGAAGAAGCCAGTGGAGCTCCTTGCTTGGCACTGTCATGGCAATTAAGAGTTTGAAAAGATTAAGAAATGAATTAGCCCTGATGATGTGTTATAAAAATGCCTGGGACTGCAGTCTTCAGGTCTGAAGAATTTTGAAGAACATCCTCATACGTCAGGGTCTAGGCACTTGCTGCTAGTGCTGAGGAGAAGATTCTTTTGCAGACAGCTTTATCAACTAAAACTTGATACAATTTTTTCCATCGCAATAGTTGGTCCTAGCTTTCATTGTAGCTGGACCAGATCGTGCCAGTGATATCCAGTTTAGTAATTTCTCTGACTTCTATTCTTGAATCACAGACATTGTGGGCTGTAAAATGATTTTCTTTCCAGAGAACAAAAATATTATTGGCAGAAAGTGAGTTTTTAACTCTCTAGCCTTCTGATGAGTGATGGCTATCTTCTTGTTGGCAGGTAAAGTTGGACCTATTGCTCAGGAAGCATCTGTGATTCCTGCTGTTGAAAAGGAAACAAGACACTCTTCTAACCTGCCAATGACACCATGCAGTCCTGCTGAACCACCCTGGCTATCCCTGGCCAAGAAGAAAGCCAAAGCATGGAGTGAAATGCCCCAGATTGTACAATAGCAAATGATGTGGACATCCTTCTTTGTACCGTCAATAGCTGCATTAACTCCATTTAAATCCTTCTTCACTGTGATCATTTTTCCAAGAAATTAGAGCCTTAGAACTTTTGTTCAAACTGCTGTATGTGAACATACAGTGAAGAAATGCCACCTGGGGCTCAATTTTGAAGTATTAGCAAGCAGAGCATTTTGTACTACCAAGTACTAGGAAAACTTGATCTTTATGTCATACACTTACGTATTTGACTAAAAGACACTGATGTTCTAAGAAGACATGCTTCAGGCTTTTGAAATGTTTCCCTTGCTAAATATGTTTTTAAAGTTTCCATGAACAATGTAGTGTTTTGTGCAATGTGTTTTTGGCTAAGGAATTAATGTGTGCTACAAAATAGATATGATGCTGTATACTGATGCATCACTGTGACTCATGGGCATTGATGTCATCACACTTGTGTGTAATGGCCCTCTTTTGCTTCTGATTGCTAATGGACCTATTTTGTGATAGCTGCAGGATCCAAACAGCAGCACTGTGAGTTGGAGTCATTTTGCCTTTTGGATAATTTGAAATCACAATGCTGCAGGTCTTGTGCTTTGCTCAGTGATGCCAGGTTGGAATGACCCAGAGGCACATGCCTCCTTTTCTCTCCCACATCCTAGAAAACCATCATGCTCTAGCATCCACTCTGTTTTTGGTTGTCTGTTTGGAAATCTGGAATAATCTACCAAAAAAAACCCACAAACCAAACCCTCAAAAAACTTCTTCCTTTAACTATGGCAAAGAGTGGTTTCTTTTTTGTGAGATTCATCAACAGACCCTCTCTCTTAAAGAGTGGCAGCGGATGGAAACTTGTTGCTACCTGGAAATTCACAGCATGTGTTCAACAAAGGCCACTCCATTTTCCACGTTCTTGTGTGATAAAGGAGCTGCTTTCCCCAGTGAGTCATCCACCCTTAATTGGTAACCCAACATCAGACTAAAAATGCCATCATTGAAGGGAGCAGGCTATTGAAAGAAAAGCTCTATAAAATGATGTTAGTGGCTTAAAAGCCAATGGCACCCAGTGGTCCTTTTTGTCTTTTCTTGCAGGATTGCACATTTAAATTCTTGTTTACAGTCAGTGCAAACTTTGAAGGCCGACTTGGCTGATGGGCAGTTTTTAGTTGGAAAGGTGGCAGGTATTTTTGAGGAAAAAAAGTTAGGACTAATTGCAAAACAAAAAATAGGTATCACATAGGAAGATTTCAGTCTTCCAGTCTTGGCCTAAATCTAAATATATAGATCACAATAATTGAAAACAGTATTAATTAAGAGCTAGATTGTGGACTCTTCTAGATAGGTGAAAACTTACTCAAGTAGGCACACTGAAGCTATAGATTCTGTTTGTTTCGTACTGACACAAAAAAGACTAAGAGTTTCACTGCTGGTTTGTTAATCCAGGCCTATTTTACTACTTGTTTTCTTTCTCTTAACAGCAATTTCTTCTTTTGAAAAAATCTGAAGTATCTGTATTCCTCTGAAGCTTTTGAGTGTAACATAAATGGACATACTCAGCTTTGATTTCTGAAGTTCTGTCCAGCTGCCACCCCATCAGACTCTTACACTGACCCCATGTAAAATACATGTATTGCCTTATTCAGCAAACTCTTCTCTTTCGGTTAGTGGGAATTGGGGTCCTTTCCCTAAAGTACTGCAAATGTTACTAGAATCTCTGCCCTGTTTTTGCTTTTGATCTTGTTTCCATTATGTTTGGTATGTACAGATGCTTTTGTAATCCTTGTCTTGAAGGAACCCCTTTTGTATTCCATTCTCATTTTTATTTTACTATTAAATGTGGTTGTCAGTGGTGACGATGCAATTTCTTGGAAACAGTGAGCAATAGATGGCCCTTGTTTGGAAAGGAAGGAAAGGAAACTATAAGGAAAAAATTAAAAAGAGGTACTTGCTTAATATGTACTCTCTGTATGGATATACTGCATAGATCTTGTCTTGGGATGTCTTTGTGTGGTCTGGCACTGATCAGCACAGCTGGTCATACTAATAAGGTTTCCTAAATCTATTTAGGAATGTAAAACATCGTCAGAGGGCTGATGGCTCCTTTTGTTCTGGGGCTGCTGCAGCTCCCGTAGGTCATGGTCAGCTTGCGCTGCTGTGATCACAAGAAACTTTGTGAATACTCATTCGAATGGATTTCAGAGTTACTCACCAGCCACTTGGGGTTGCTTTCAGAAAGAAGAAAGGAACATGAGAATCATGAGATGCTGCATTTGGTATTTAGTTGCCTTCTGGGTTTCTGAAGTTATTTTATTCCAGTTTCTTTCTACAGCCAGGAGGACAAAAAGCTCAGAGAGGAAGAAATCAGAACTAGACTCATGTAACTGCAAGGTGAGGTTTTAAAATCAACATTGAATCACTGGTGATTTACTAATACATTTATAAAAGCTGACTGTTGCATTTGTGAGGCTCCAACTTGCCATTGCCCACTTGTAGATTGTAGGTGATAGATGAGTGCAGATAATTGCCATAGTAAGCTCATTCTGCATGGTTTAAGAAAACAAAAAAGCAAAAAAACACCAAAGCAACATGATCACTTTCAAATACAATCACTGCTTTTGGAAATTAGCTGCCTCAAAGTCACTGCGAAGTCACATTGCCAAGAGTGTAACTGTGAGGTTCTGCGGCTCAGGGCCTTCAGCAAAGGATCTTGAGGGCTGTCCCTGAGATGCCCTGCACTCAGGGCTGGCACTGGGCTTCAGCTGGCTTTGGTGCTCCTGTACAACAGCAGAGGGTGCTAGTGCCATCCCCAAGGAGAACAGGGCTTCTGGGTGTTGCAGAAAGTGGATTCCCACATCCAACTCACTGTACAGTATCACAGTTGGGAGACTGGAAGCTGTTGTGAAAGTGGAGGAGACAGAGTGAGGTGTGTTGCTGTTTGTGATATGGTGGAGGTTTTGGAGCTATGAAGTGTGGGGAAAAAAATGCTTTATCACAAGGAGTCACTGAAAACTGGTGCCACTGATAGGGAAAGGTAGTGAGTTCAGTTGTGTGAGGAGGCCATGCAGGAAGATACAGGACTGTGTCCAACAGGGAATCACAGTTTAGAATTTTAGTTCTACTGCTCAGAACGCCTGCTGCCTGGCTAAAGGTAGATCTTCATCCAGATACAGGACCTGATGTTTTTATGGGAGAGATCAGAGATACAAACAGCAACTTGGCATGCACCTCACTGGAGATTATGGAGGTTCCTCTTACTGTAACAGTGACCTACAATGAATCGGGCTAAAAGAGACTGTTATGTTATCATCCAGCTGTGAATCAGCTTACAATTAACTGGGTTTGCAGGCAAGTAGGAATTAATCCATTTAAACAAAGAAATAAGAAAATAATTCAAAGACCTCCAAAGCTACGCACTACTATCAGTACTCCAAAACATTTTCATTACCAGAACATGGCTTAACATCTCCTTAAATACACCCAAAGAATCAAAAACCCCTGGATATCACCATGGAGCCAGTCCTCATTTCAATGACCATGGTTTAGAAGGTCTTGGAATAGTGAGGAATGACTGACCATTCTGAAAACTCTGCTGTCCTGTTTCCTGTTGGGACAGAGAAAGTCCCCTAAGCAGCAATAGACTCTTTTTAATTGCTTGAATTTATATACCTATAGATTTAATATTACAGTAGAACTTCTCAGCTTAGAAAGGTTGAGCTTGTCCCATTTGCTCAGTTAAGTGCTTTGCAGATCAATACAGAAAAGGCATTAGGCATACTTTGTCCTTCAGAACTGTTACTGGAAGGATTCTAGTAACCACAGAGGCAATTAGCTGCCTACAGAGTCAGACACTTGTCCCTCTTTGTCTTTTCCTCTAGTGCATGCTTCCCTGCCTGCATTTACATTGAGCTTCCCAGGTTTGACAAACATCTCATCGTTTGCCACTGGAATGTTGGCAATTAAGGTGTGGAACCCCTCACATTTAGGTAATCCTGACATCTGTTTAGGATTTTGGCCTTGGTTTGTTGCTTGGTACGCTTGCATTCTGTGCGCATTTTGGCTTGTACTCAAAGAGTCGTTATTCAATATGGGGTGTTGCTGTTCTTACAGCCCGAGTCAGTTCTTGCTACAAAGATTGAGTGCAACCTTTCTTTTTTAAAAAAAAACAAACAAAAAAACAAAAAACAAAAAAACATTTTATAGAAATAAGCAGGTGGGATAAATTCTAAACTTGGAACACAAAACCACGCATCTTCACAGATCAGAAAAGCTGCTCAGGTATTTCCAGCTGGATGAATGAAGGGGCATGGCAGGATGAAGGTGAATCTGTGGAAGAATGATGGTACAACTCAAGAAACAAAAGGCTCACAGTGGGATGCTGCAGTGCAGCGCTTGAAATAGCAGAGCTGTGCAACATAGCTCCTAAGAAAGGAACAGAGCCAAAGTTCTGCAACTTCTCCCAGCTTGAGGGGCAGATTATTGGTTATGGAAATAGTGAGATGCTATTATTGTTCCTATTGTGTGAGGAGGGATTTAAAAATAAATTCTTTTAATAGCTGTTTTCTTTAGAGGCAGTTCAGAAAAACCTACAGGCTGTTGATGTAAACAGGATTATTGTCCACCAATTCCTACGCTGATCTATGAGCCAACCTAGTTCCAAAACTACAAGTAGGTATGAAAGCCACTGAAGTCATGGAGTATTTCATTAATATAACTTTGTCTGAAATAGAAATGAAAAAGCAGAAAGAAGGGACTGGTACAAACATTCTAATACAAAAAACTGTTCCATACCTGGGACTCTCATCTTTGCTTCTCTCTGCCTCAGAATAGCTCCTTAAAAATATAGAGAGTTTCTTTCTCTAAACTTTTTACCTTTTCACGTCTAGGATCAAACCTACTTTTCCCTTAATTTCTTTTCTAGCTAACCATGTCTTACAGGAATCCAGTGAATAGCTAACAAGTTCAAGATTGCATACCTGTCAGCGTTGGCAATGCTGCTCTGCTTAGAAATCTCCTTAACCTATTTTGTTAAGCAGTTACAGTTGATACTCCATTATATTTTCCCTACTGTCTTATTCCGGCCTCCAAATTAGTTTCAACTTACAGGTATTTTTCCAACATAGCAGGGTGAGGTTGAGTGTTCCCAAATTAGAAGCTTGCCACACTTCTCTGGAATCTGTTTCTGTGGCACTGAGGTAACTTTTTCCCAAATTACACAATAAGGCCGTTGTAGCAATGGCAGCAATGTATGGGAAGGGGTCAAAGTCCTGGGGCTGTGTTGTGTTTCCATAGAGCTGCTCGCAGCAGCCTTCCTTAACGGTGCCATTGGCACTGGCAGAGCTAGCAAGCAGGAGATGTTGCTGGCTGCCTTCTATAAATGCGTCACTCCTGCTGGCCTAAGTACTGGCTGTACATCGCTACTGACATGGGCAAGTGAAGAAAAGCAACAGTCACTGAGAAGCAAACAGAGGGGAGATGTGCCCCCCAGAGGGTCAGCATGTTATCAGTTGTGCATGCAGGAAGAAACAATTTCCACGGGCTTTGTGAGCTGTGAAAGTGTGTTTTATTCACATGGGAGTAAATAAAATGACTTCTCTGTCACAAGTAGATGCACAAGTTAGGATATATCTACATAAAACCAGAGCTGCATTTTAAACAAAACAGGCACTCACTCAGCTTGGAGCCTGAATCACGCATATTGCGAAGGAGAGGAAAACACATAATTTGTAACATGATGGAAAGCAGAGCAGCAAGGTCCTAGGCTGGAGCAAGTGAGAATTCACCCAAATGAACAGCTATGGGCACACAAATAAAGGAAAGAAGCTGCTTACCTTCAGAAGGCCTCAGGTATGCAGGGAACTGCAGAAGGACCCCCCTCATATCTACTGCCAGCCCTTAAATGAGGCCTGGGAAGGGGTCGATCCTGGATCCACACATTCTGGTCACTCAGCTGCATTGCATGCACCTGAGCTCCCCTGGGTTGGCCCTGCCTTCCCACCAGGTGCTCCATCACTGCTTCAGGGTGTGACTTAGCATTTTCACTACAGCATTTCATAGGCCAACAGAGCTCTGCTTAAAGATCAGTGACCTGATCTGTATTTGCATGGAAGGAAACCAGAGGTGCTTGAAAACAGAGCTTCATTTTCTGTGTTTCCATTTTGTGTTTTCCATCTGTGTTAGACAGAACAATTTATTACATAAGCACTCTTAGTGTTATGATCTTTTATGAAAACAAGTGTCTCCTTGCTTCACTTTGTTTATAAAAAAAGAGCTCTGACTGTGAAGATGTGCTACATATGGAGAGAGAACAATCAACAGGAATATTTGCATTGCATATTAAGTGCTAGGCATATTGACATCATTTCTCACTTGCTACTTGCCCAATAGTTTCAGAGCATAACTTACTGCCAAAGCCCAGCACACAGCAAAGCACTCTGGCAAGGATCAGAAAAACGTGTTTTTTGATTATCGTATTAAAACCACTGCTGGGAATGATGCATTAAAGAGGAATTACTTAATGACAACTTTATATGAGACTGTAGTAGAGCAAGACATTGGTACATTCCTTCATAAAAGTGAAGATATGTTTCTAGTCTCTCCTTCCACGTGCATATTCTAACTGCTGACCTGACTAGAAAATGTCCTTTAGTTCCTACATATATCAGCTGGAAGCAAAGCTTTGTGGCCCTGCTTGTTGACTTTCCTTCAGAGTAGCAGTCGGCAAACTTCCTGCCATCTCCTCCAAGCCTCTGGGTTAAATGTGGTCCTGTAGCATAGAGCTTTGTTCCATCTCATTCCCAGGGACCTCAGGGAGGGCACGTCCACGTTCTACACATGGCCCTTCCCACCTCGTGCAGACTGCAGCAATGCATCCCGGGGTGTAAAGTGACAGGGGCTGCTGTGACAAAGGATGGTGTTGCCATCTTGAGCCCAGCAATGCTGGATGGCGGGAAGATGGGTGT